TATGGCGTCGGCGGTAAACCCACCCCCCCCCCCCCTCCACAGTTTCACTCTCCCTCCACCCCCCACCCCCCCTCAACAAAACTTTTCTAAGGTTTCTTTCTCGAAAAACTAAGACTGGCCCCTGACCAGAAAAGGGAACAGTCATGTGGCCCTCGCAGGAAAAAGTTTGGGGACCCCTGCATTAAATAATAAAACATAACGAGGCTTCGGGGCAGATACATTTTCCTCCAGGAATTTTAAAAATCGAGGTACTCGAATCATTCGAGGAATCGTTTCAGCCCTCCTGAAACGATTCAGGAGGGCTGAAACGACTTTGTATCGCTGATACAAAGTCAGCGATGACTTTGTATCTTTATGTCTTTGTGATGTAAAACACTTTGAATTCCATTGTTGCTGAAATGTGCTTTAAAAAATAAACTTGACTGATTGATTGAGACCTTATTCCAAATTCCAGCCACTGAAGGACCAAAGCTTCCTGCAGGAGTCCAGACTTTTCTGTCCATTCTTGAAAATGATTTCTGTGTTGTGTCTGTTGTTCAGATGAACACTGCGTTTTTTCTTCTCCTCCACTTCTTCTACAGTGATGGGACTAATGTTCGGTACCCCTGTTTCTCCTGAAAGGAGAAAAACAAACAGCTGCTGATCTGGTTGGAGACAAACTAGTGGCATCACAAGAGTCCATAACTACCCAGGAGAAAAATAAATATACTAAGCATGTTAAATTTTAGCATTCTTCAAGCCAGACTAATCATCAGCAAGGGTGTAACTTTGTGTTGCAAATTGGTGGGGGTGTATTGTGAGGTACAGCCACTGAGGAGGTTAGTGCTGATGCACCCAGGAAGGCCTTTTTTGTGCTAAGAATATGGCCAAAATTTAAATGTGAATGCCAAGCATTCTTACTCGGTAACTTAGAATGTACATCCTGACGAGGTTTGTCAGATTAACAGTACTTATTGAAAATAAAAACTTTTAATCCTCGTGACAGTAGTCACAGGTTCGATTCCCGGCCTGGCGATGTTTGCCACATGTCTTCCCCCTCTCTCATTACACTCTTTCCTGTCAAACTATTTTAAAGTAAAGGCCACTAGAGTCAACAAAACCTTACCAAAAAAAATGAAACTTTCTCTTCTACGTGGCACCCTAGCCTCCACCATCCTGACAGTATTTGTGCTGATCGTTTGGGTTCCTCTATTTTGGTTCTGTCCATCATGGTCCAATGTCCACTCTGGTCTCCTCTGTGGACATTGCTACAGATGCAGTTCAGTTAACCTCAGTCTGGCGGCCATCTTGTTTCTTGTTTCCCACATATTTTCATAATATTCCTCATCCTGAGTGTCTGAGCTGCACCGTTTTAAGGGAACTTTTGGCTTCAGGGTTTTTGTCCGAAGGGAA